AAACTGAAATATTGTGTAATTTTTGCCGGCAAAGTCCGCTCTTTCCGCCCGCGCGATCCGCCTGCCTGATTAGTGTACAAATATGTTGTACGTTAATATATGCATGCACCCGCAAAGCCACGCGCCTGATTTTAAGGTATACACCTGCGTTAAAAATAATCCCTATCTATCCATCGGGATACACTTAGTTATGCAAATTCGTATTGCCTTAAGCCCCTTAATTACCTACACGCCTCCTAATGACTTAGCAACGCATAACAACGCAACGTTTGTAAAGTTTTAAAGCATGTTTATTGATACAAATAACAGACGATAGTGTCAAAAATATTACAACTAAAACTATTTGTTAAACTGTTCTATAAGTTTTTTCTCCATGAGTTCTTGATAAGCTTTCTTATGATCTGCCTCAAAACTTCTAAATCGTTCACCCGTCGCCTTCACATAATACATGTAACTCGGTGGGTAAGAGAAAAACGCTTCAGCTACGGACTCGAGTGGGTCTTCTAATCTCCAATGAAACAAATAGTTCAGTATACATTGTAGTTCGTGGTTCTCAGTGTTCTGATGTAGTTCCATCAATGAATCGACAAACGTAGAATCTGGATCTTTTTCCAGTTGCTGTAAATGTTCGAGTACATCTCTATCAACCGCCAGTTTTAGTACCCTCATTGCCTCAGCGAATTCATTCCAAACCATACGCTTACCATTCACTCGTTCGATCGCTTGTAAACCATACATTTGCCATCGTTCGTTTTCGTTCATCATGAGGCAGTCATGTTGTCTTTGACTAGGATGACTGACTTGACAACCATTACATGATTCCACACAAAGTCTTTCAACTTCTTGTGCGACTGCATTCGCAAATATTCCTTCCAATAAATTGTAAGATGTGGTTTTACCGTGTAGACACGCCATGACTGATGTGGAACAAATATAGACGATGTTTGTTACAGGACGCTTGTCGATTTTATACAGATACTTGTATAAAAGTTCATAGTAAGCCAACATTAAATTAATCCCTCAATTGTATCATAAACGTGGAGAGACGCTAAAAACTGCGTAGTCAGCAAGTTTCGCCCGATCGCGCTTAAACCTGCCCGCGTGACGTCATTGCATATAATTATGACGTATGTTAATGAGTGACGTCATTACGCACCCTCATTTGTGCGGCCCCCTTAATTACCTGCATATATAATGTGCGGCCCCCTTGCGGCCCCCTGCGGCCCCCTGAAAATCCGGCCCGATCGGCCTCTATATTACCACTTGTATATATATATATATATATATATATATATATATATATATATATATATATATATATATATATATATATATATATATATATATATATATATATAATACGAAATGGCAGCCATGTTTTATACCAATATACTATGTGTTACATGAAGTGTAAGGCAGGTGAGCTACGAGCCTTCAGTATAGTTTTGAAAGCACAATATTTTATATATATATATATATATATATATATATATATATATATATATATATATATATATATATATATATATATTATACGAAATGGCAGCCATGTTTTATACCAATATACTATGTGTTACATGAAGTGTAAGGCAGGTGAGCTACGAGCCTTCAGTATTATATATATACACTGTTAATTTCAGGGAGTTATTTTAACTCCACCATAGGAGTTAAAACTACTCAGCTCGGGAGAGTAAAAATAGTGGAGTAAAATCTACTCCCAAAATAAAACCTATGCCTAACGTACCCCTAGCTAGCGTATGCCAGCGTATACCGGCGTATGAGTCATATTTTTCATACGATAGCATACGCTAGTACGATACGCCATAGTGTGACAGGGCATTAACCATATTTGTACCGGGGTGCGCACAATGATCGCACACCTATGAATATTTATCCGTCACTCCTGAACAAATGATCTCATTTGCCTATACAGGGTGTATCAAAAAAAGTAAGACAATTTTGAAATTGCTCTCAATTCCACAATTCTGTTCATGAAATTTATTATTTGATATGTTATTATTTGAGTTCTTAAATTATGGAAAATATGAAAAATTTTGAAAATAGAAAATTTGCTATCCAGGGGGGTGGTCAACTTTTGCTCCCCTAAAAGTGGCTTGCGCACGGAAATAACAAACGGTATTCTTTATTTGAGTTCATGTATGAAAAGTTCGCTATTTGTTGCATTTATGATAAAATTTCGGCAGGATTTTACCGAGTACAAATCCTCCGAAAAGCCTATGAAAATGTTACATTTTTCTCTGTTGGTGCTGTTCTTGCTTCATTATGAATTCATTTTTACTCCCATGAGAGTTCCATGGAATTTCCATGGAATTTGTGCTTTCAAGTTGTTTGTGCTGAAACGCATTTTCTCGTATAATACCTCGTAAACTTTGAAATGGCGATGCCACAATTTACCCCGCAGCAGACATAAACTTGGTTCGCCAAAGTTTCACGAAATAATATCCAGATGTACGATGCCCTTCACGTGCGAATACGTGAAGGGCATCGTACATCTGGATATTTGTTCGTGAAACTTTGGCGAACCAGCTAGGTTTATGTTGTTGCTATGGAGGAACTCTGATACCATGCATAAAAGCTCTCTGCTGCGGGGTAAATTGTGGCATCGCCATTTCAAAGTGTACGGAGTATTATACGAGAGAATGCGTTTCAGCACAAACAACTCGAAAGCACAAATTCCATGGAAATTCCATGGAACTCTCATGGGAGTAAAAATGAATTCATAATGAAGCAAGAACAGCACCAACAGAGAAAAATGTAACGTTTTCATAGGCTTTTCGGAGGATTTGTACTTGGTAAAATCCTGCCGAAATTTTATCATAAATGCAACAAATAGCGAACTTTTCACACATGAACTCAAATAATGAATACCGTTTGTCATTTCTGTGCGCAAGCCACTTTTAGGGGAGCAAAAGTTGACCACCCCCCTGGATAGCAAAATTTACTATTTTCAATTTTTTTATATTTTCCATAATTTAAGAACTCAAGCAATCCATATATAGCAAAAATTACATTTCATGAACAGAATTGTGGAATTGAGAGCAATTTCAAAATTGTCTTACTTTTTTTGATACACCCTGTATATTCATCTTATGCGAAAATAGCTTCGGTTTTGGAATCTTTGACAGCAGATGTCCTTTTTCTGCATTTAGATCTTGTGCTAGTTCCTCCCTCCCTCCCTCCCACCATTCTCCATTCTCCTCTTCTGGATTTTCATCAATTTCAAGTGGACAATAGTCAATGTCGACGTCATCAACAATGTTATCGGATTCAGAAGATTCTTCATCCTAACTAATTGTAATTACCATTAATATTATCAACAGGAAGATCAGCCAACATGCCCACAACATCGCCTCTGTCATAACTAATGCGACTACTCGATCTGCTCTCCATTACGATGCAATAACCTACAACACAATAGTCAATAATACCTTACAAGAATAATCTCAACATATTCCTGTAAATGTTAAACTGTCGGACGTACTGCAGAGTCCCAGCCAGAAAAACTTGCATTATTAAAGACGTAACGCAAAAAAAAAACAAGTCAGAAAGTTCTTTTATGGGTAATCAACATATAAAAAAATTCTGAGCCTTAAAAACTAAAACGATAGATGTAGGAAGCAAAGAACAACTCACCTTTCACATCAACGACCGCACATGACTAGCAGCTAATGACAGGAAAGCTCCACTCTCATATAAAGCTTATAATCTTATCAGTCATATATACAGAGCATGTTTTTTGTGTAACTTTTCTGCGAGGTTGCTGGTAGCGTATTCGGCAAAGGCGTTGCGAATTTAAAAAAAATTGGGGTAGCATACCACCGGATCTTCCTAACTTGGAGTACTAGTCCGTAAAGTAAAAATAGTCCTTGAAATCAAATATAACACCTCAAATAATATCAAACGTACGAATTAACTGTTGCCGTAGTCGTGCTCACGTACCAGGTTCAACAACTACGGCATTGCATAACGCTTAAGACCATGTCATTTACATTCGCCTTTGTCAATAATAGGATCAATGCTATTGTTGATGACCATGTTGCCGTTGCCGTTGTATTTGCCAAACTCTCTATTTCCGCAGCAGGGGGTGAGCGAAGGTAATACCCTGTGTGCGAGGTTGTTTGGGCGTAAGCCCTGGACTAGGGTATCAATTCCACTCGAACAGAACGAGGTGCAAAATCATCCTCCATTATATGATGGACGATTTTCGACGTTACGCTCATGCGTGAGTACCAGCTCTGTCAAAACGTTGTTTTTTTTTCATTTTGCAAAGCTTGAAAGCTTTAATTTTATATGTATTTTGTTGTCGACAGTATATTTTTGCGAATTTAAATGTTGTAAAAAGTTCCAGACGTTTTTTTTCGATTTTAAACAAGCCAGCAGTTTCATTAATTAATGGCTGTCGACTGTGCAATAGAGGTTGAAAGACGTAAATACGAGTTTTGTGGAAGACGAACCTGATGCATTTAATAATTTAGGTGTCTTAGTTGGCTATGTTTGAGTAAGTGGTAAATATTTCAGATGCAAAATTCCATACCCTACATCCTTTGTGTTGTCGAATTAATTGATATTTGCGAAATTATTAAGTCATTTCGAACCCCAATAATATGTTTTATGCATGCTGGGCATTTATTTGTAATTGCAACGATTATTATAATTATTTATTTAGGACAATTCATCCAGCGTTTAGTGTTTTAAATTAATGTGTGTCAAAATGGTATTTTATCTACAACAAATGTGGCTTGATCAAAATGTTGTGAAAGCTTGTGCTTGCGAAGCAAATATTTTTACCGTATTTTCGAGCAAACTATTTCTCAGCAAAACAACTTTTTCAGTTTATCCAGCTTCACGACAAAGTTTCGAAACGTCTTACCCTATTATTTTGCATTAAATTCAAGCATATTAATAGCCAAATAACTGGAAATCGATGTTACCACGATGGCAACCACCACTATTTTAGTCATGAAATGCTTCATATGGAACTGATATCCTTTATCTGTTGCAAGAAGTTGATGAATGGATGTAGTTCTAGTATATATTAGAGAAATTTGGATTTGACGTCCACTACCGCTACCTTTACGGGTATTAACCAATCAGATGCGTTTGATATATTTGATTTACCAATCGCATCTAGCTGTCAGTGAGCAGAATTAATGATAGCGAAAGTGGAAAGTTCAAATCTGAACTTCTATATTGTGTCAAAACCGTCGTACAGGGTTACTAGTAGACTTTTAGTGGCCACACCAGTAAGACTATTATTTGGTTTGTTTATGAATGAACATTGCACTACTCAAGCTTTTAATATCAATCGTTTACCTTGATGATATTCCATCACAATTAGATATTTACTGGAAATATATGCTGGTGCAGCAACCCTTTGCCCTTTTTTTGGCAGATCAGAACATCTAAAACTCAAAAATATTGTTTCAGCACGAAGGTTTCGTTGTTGGAAACATTGTACATTCAAAGCATGTTTCTTTGGCAACATGAAAATAAATAATAACATATATATATATATATATATATATATATATATATATATATATATATATATATATATATATATATATATATATATATATATATATATATATATATATATATATATATATATATATATATATATATATATAGTATATATATATATATATATATATATATATATATATATATATATATATATATATATATATATATATATATATATATATATATATATATATATATATATATATATAACAAAGTTTTGTTATTGCAGTAGATTAAAGAGTGCTCAATACAAAAATTTGTAGAGCAATATTTATTTAATCTATAGCAACATATACCATTTTTAAGATTAAATATATATATATATATATATATATATATATATATATATATATATATATATATATATATATAAAATAGATTGTGTAGGGTTATAAAAACCAATGATAGAGTGCTCAATGGATAACCAGAGCATAATAGAAAGACACAAAAACTTAGCAAGCTTTGTTTGGCATATTTATTACTATACAGTTTCGTACCACGTAAATAACGTGGCACTCTTCAGATAAAATAGCCTATGTTTGACCTATAGCTTCTCAACGAACTTTTTAAATATGTACAGATGGTATAAAGGACGCTTATCTAATTACAAATCAATTAACACCTCAAGTAGTGTCACGAAAATATTAGTATCAAGTTATAAAGTTTTTAAGTAGAAATTTATTAGCGTATCTACACGTGGAGGCAAGTTCGTTGCGACGATTAAGTGTTGCAATGTCCGGTTTACAAATAATGAAATAGTTCTCAAATAACATATATATATATATATATATATATATATATATATATATATATATATATATATATATATATATATATATATATATATATATATATATAGGTTATCATATAAGGGATGAGGTGATATCAGTTTTATCGCTCGAGGGATGATATATATATATATATCTCCACGTGTAGACACGCTAATAAATTTCTACTTAAAAACTTTATAACTTGATACTAATATTTTCGTGACACTACTTGAGGTGTTAATTGATTTGTAATTAGATAAGCGTCCTTTATACCGTCTGTACATATTTAAAAAGTTCGTTAAGAAGCTATAGGTCAAACATAGGCTATTTTATCTGAAGAGTGCCACGTTATTTACGTGGTACGAAACTGTATAGTAATAAATATGCCAAACAAAGCTTGCTAAGTTTTTGTGTCTTTCTATATATATATATATACATATATATATATATATATATATATATATATATATATATATATATATATATATATATATATATATATATATATATATATATGGTTATTATTTATATCATAAAGATTCATGCTTTCAGATTTGCAAACATTAGCAACCTGTCAAATTGTCATGTCTTCACAATAGTTGACCATGCAAATATGGAGTTTTGACATAATATTTATCTGAGTGACACCAGAGCGTTGAATATGATAAAAAGATATTTAAGGGTGGGACGTAATAACGTTGAATATAAAAATCTTATTCAATCTTATGACGCCGTGCAATAGAAATAAGAATGCACAATGTGGAAACATGACCAAAACAATATGACGCCGCCTTCGGCCGTGGTTGCAGTAAATTGCAAGTTTAAAGGAAACAGTTTTACAATATCGAAGACGAAATATTAAAAAAACAGCAACGGAAGGTTTTGGAACATCTTAAGATACTTGTGAAAAAAAAGAAAATATTTGGGAAAAAGAACTGGTCGTTATTTGTCGTAAAAGACGAAGACATTCGTTCGTTCGTTCGTTCGTTCGTTCGTTCTGATCGTTCGTTCGTTCGTTCGTTCGTTCGTTCGTTCATTCATTCGAATTTCATTCATACGTCTTTATTAAAATACAGGGTGTATAAAAAACTAAACAGATTTAAAATTGCTCCCAATTTCGCGTTTTTGGTATATACGGCTTTTTTGGGTATTTATAATGTAGAATAATGAAAAAATTTTCGAACACAAATTTTCTAATTCGGGCGTGTGTGTCTTTTCCGGCAAACCAAACCTGGCTTGCGCACTGGATTTAAACGCTATAATCGTATTCTGAGTTAATCGATGAAAAATCGGTCGGGTGTTTAATTTGTGTTACGTCATGCTTATATCTTTTACGAAATTGATTAAATGTGAGTAAACGCAACTAATGAATAGGGGTAACGACCGTTTATTTTAAAATGTTTTTTCCCAACAAAATATGCGTTCTTGAAGGTCGAATAATGTAGGCAAAGTTTTGCCTATGAATTTTCGGAAACTGTGCAGTTTGTTAGAGACAATATTTGCACAAACTGTTTCTTGCGAGGTTTATGAGCTTTTCAAAGAGAGGTGTTGCGGTTGTAAACTAAATCGTTTTAGTCAGAGCGAGTGTCTTATGTCATCGCATGAGGAGAAATTGCAGATGTATGATTTGGAAGCCATAAAGCGTGTTAACAATAAAGTCGTGGTTTGGAATAAGTTTGTTGAGGTGACCAAAGTTTTATAGCTTCAGTGGGATGAATACGAGTTTGAATATTGAAATGAATTGAGGAGGGACCCTATGTATGTTAAATCAATGATGAGTGTGGGGAACAGTGAGATGCTGAGTATTTTAAACTAGCTTTCTAACTGGAAAGAGGATTGTCGTGATGACCCGCTTGAGCCTAGCCTGGGCGATGGTCTTTTTTCGATGCTCCCTAGCTATAGGTACAGTGTGAAGGCGACAGGCGAGCAATTTAGAAGTCATGAAGAGGATCATTATAAGGCATATGAAGAATATTTGAAAAGTAAACTTTAAAATTGAATGATTCAGTGTAAATATGTTAATAAACGAGTTACGTTTTTATTTGAGGGTTCTTAAAAGAACCGTTGTTTTGTGTTTGTCTTTACTGCTGCAGCCACATCGCAAAGGCGTAGACTTCGACTTTTGCGCAATGTTGATAAGCGTTGCTTTCCAAATGGTTCCCGCAGGTTTCTAACCAGATCAGTTGATCAAATAGTTTTGCAGCTTTGGGACAATTGAAGCATTCCAAATTTACGGCCGGAATACGGTGCACGTGACTCGCCAGGAAATCCCTTTTGTAATGTCTATATTTCACGGTAGAAATTCTCTACAATTGGCTGCAAGTCCAAAATTTGAAATGCTTTAGTGCCCCGTGGCACTCCAAACGGGAGTTTATGTAACTTTTTCTGGACGAAGTTACACGCTCTTTTGTTTTCTCGTTGTGCTAGTTGCAGGGTAAGCCAATATCAAAAAAGAACGACGAGGCTTCATAGTTTCCGACCTTTATGACTCCCAACTCCTTAGAGAAAAATTTCTTTCCAATTTGAAATCCATGTCAAGAATCCCAACGATGTCTAGCCTGCGAACAGGCTCTCAAGGTGAAATGAGAGCCTGCATCGATGGCTAATGAATTTGAATATGTGCGTCTCAAATCGTCACGCAAAATTCTCATTGATCAGATGCTATAATTTATATGTTTCCGCTGAGCTCTATATATGTCAACTGTGCTGAAGCACTATGCATAAAGAACACATTAACTGACCAAATTGGTCTTGGCCATCTTATCTCAAAGCACAAAATGTTCTGTTTAAAAAAAACTGTATTTAAAGCCCGCCGCACACGAGCGCACTTGTCGCGCGTACTTGTTATCCGTGACAAGTTGGTTCCCGCAGGTTTCTAACCAGATCAGTTGCAGGGCTGTAGCGAGGGGGGTATTGGGGGGGGGGGGTTAACCCCCAACTTTTTTAGAATTAACATATTCTGAAAATCAGGTTGGCCATTCGGACAATTACGGCAATAATAGTATGGCAAAATTTTAGTTGTTAAACAAAGAAAATATAATATAATTGTATTATTAGTATACAGGGTGTATCAAAATAAACGCAATTCATCTTTTGTGTTTAATAACTTTCGAAATACTATTTCCAGTTAAACGCTTTTAGGCTTACTTCAAAGCCTGTTCTTTTCTCTTTCAAACAAACTATTATCCTTGTCTCCAATGCTAGTAATAATTGCACAGGAAAAGATTCAGTAAAACCTATCATTTTTAGTTGCTGTTTAATTATGCAAGTTTACTATGTCATAGTTTAGTCGGTTTAAATGTTAGAATTTTCTTCTTTAAACTTTAATGTTGTCGTCACTACATGTGGAAAACCACGTAAGAACAAATTAATAGTATTTTAAAAGAGACCAGGTTGTTCGAAATCCTAAACGAATGCTAAAAATCGTCAAAACATTCTGGTGTCTAAGCCAGAGTGTCATCGAATTGCGATGTAAGGTAAACAGAAATTATAGCAAGTTGATGTCAGTCAGCTTAGATGGTCCAAGCCAACATTATATCGCATTTTAAGTTTAAAACTAAGTTAAAAATAGTGGAAGAAAAGCCGTAATTATACTTATTGTTACAATCCATTTAATAAAATGCAACATTTTTTTGTTTTAATGGAAAAAATCAGTTATTTTCATGAGAACGATTTGTTATTCCATCTCAATTTTTTTAATCTCCAATCGCAATAACGTAAAGTATTATTAGCCGCGAACCAATGAGTCAAATTTAAGAAACAACCCACTGTTAGAAAGCTGAATGGCTACGCTTTAAAATGAATGTAAACTTTAATGTTTTCGTCTATTATTTGTTTAGCAATTTACATTTCAATTGAGGATTGCGCTTTTTTTGATACACCCTGTATACTGATTTACGAAATCATGGCACTTACATGGATAATATTTAACAAATCGTAAATCGGTAAATATTTTTCGATTTATTACTTCCAAATCGCAACTTAGCAATAATTTTCTAATAATTTCCCGGCCCTCCCAATAATTTCTCCTAATAATTATTTTTTTTCAAAATCATGCAGACTTTACATTTAGATAATATACCTTTTTAAAATTCTGACAATTGATTAATTTTAGGAGGCTACATTATCCATGAGAAACTGCAAAGAATCATATTACCCATACTTTCCTGTAACTTCTCAAATATATAGTTAATTAAATACGCCTTCGCTCATTTAGTACTACTAAATTGTAAGCAAATTGTAAATTTCGACAAACTAAAATACTGTTTTCTGACCATCAGAATTATGTCGAAACTTCCCCCAAAGTCCAGGAAATGGCATTTCAGAGACTCTCAATTTAAAAATTTCCTTAGGCCTTCGGCCCTCGTTCTCAGCCCCCCCCCCCAATCAAAAAGAGCTTTCTAAGGCACTGCATGCTTTTGTAGCCTTTGCGATGTGGTTGCAGCAGTATGAAGACAAACACAAAACACCGGTTCTTTTAAATACAACCCTCTAATTTACGAAACTCGTTTATTAACATAGTTACACTGAATCATTGAATCTCAAAGTTTACTTCTCAAATATTCTACATATGGGTTATAATGATCCTCTTCATGACTTCGAAATTGCTCGCCTGTCGCCCTCTGTCGCTAGGGGCATCGAAAAAAAGACCATAGCCCCAGTCTCAAGCGGGTCATCACGACAATCCTCTTTTCGGTTAGAAAGCTAGTTTAAAACACTCAGCATCTCACTGTTCCCCACACTCATCATCGATTTAACATACATGGGGTCCCTCCTCAATTGATTCCAATATTCAAGCACGTATTCATCCCACTGAAGCTCTAAAACTTTGGTCACCTCAACAAACTTATTCCAAACCACGTCTTTATTGTTAACACGTTTATGGCTTCCAAATTTTACATCTGCAATCTCTCCTCATGCGATAGCATAAGGCACTCACTCAGACTAAAACGATTTAGTTTACAACCACAACACTTATCTTTGGAAAGCTCATAAACCTCGCAAGAAACTGTTTGTGCATATATTGTCTCTAACAAGCTGCACAGTTTCCAAAATTCCATAGGCAAAACTTTGCCTACATTATTCGACCTTGAAGAACGCATATTTTGTTGGGAAAAAACATTTTAAAATAAACGATCGTTACCCCTATTCATTAGTTGTGTTTGCTCACATTTAATCAATTTCGTAAAAGGTTTGAGCATGACGTAATACAATGTACGCACGCTAAGTACGAACTCCCAGACGTACACTAAGTGCGACCTCTTGGGCGTACACTAAGTACTAACGCTCGAACGTACTCCTCTGTTGACGTCATACATACATTAGCTTGAATGCTAATTACTTCCGTACCTATATGGGAGGGGGTTACCTACTCATAAGTGTTGGAGTTGCAACAAAAGTGCAAATTTACAGTGAAGATAAGACATAGTAATTAGATTATTTACAAATTTGTTAACGTTACAGTTAATATATACCGTATAACAAAATTTAAAAGTCTTTAAAAATTGTTTAAAACATTCAGTGCATGGCTTATTTTGGTTGAAAAATATTTCAAGCTTTGCTTATATTACTCTGGAAAATTTTTTGACTCTCCCCCTGTCGACAAACATTTTCGGGAAACATTTCCACTACTTGGTCAAAATTCTAGGAAAAGTTGGCCAAAACATGACGACACCCCCTCCCCAACGTCGATGGCTTCACGACGTCCCTGTGTCTTTCAATATTGGCGCTATTTTAAAGTTAGAGTGTTTTCCTTTAGGCTATAACATCTGAAAGCACTGATAAAAATCAGCAAGTGTATTATGATTGTTGGTACAAGTTAAAGGTAAGTTATTAAGGATAAGCTGTACAACATTTACAATAATTTTTCCGTACGTTTAATTTATTGTTCAAAATGTATTTTAAGTTATCATTGAATATTGGCAATGGGTGCAAGATGCAACATGTGATTAACCTTGTGTTATATAGCTAGTGCTGAAACTAAACGTGATTGGCTGATTTCTGGTCAGATAAATGCAATGTATCCCCCCCGGGCAATAAGTGAAGAATTGCTGCCCGCTCCTTTGTGTTTTAATTAATAATAAAGAATGTAAAAGGAAAAAAATATATACACAACAGGCAACAGGATATGCTGCTGAAACCGTTTAAGTAGCTAGCTTCTTTTGATTTTAAACTCGTTTATACTATAGAGTTTTTGACTTTTTGTCATGACACACAATTGTTGCATGAATGTTGTTAATTTTTCTTTTGTTGCTATATAACAAAACACTTAATAGCTATTTGTTCCCTCGGGAAATAGTTATAGTTTTGTTTTTACCCTCGAATCTCAATGTTTTTCAACTATTTTCCAACTATATCCCTCGCGAGCAGAACAAAATTGATGTACTCCACCAATTATTGTTTTACAATCAAAGACGTCGTTCTTTTATCCTCATTCCAGACTGTTTGAATTTTATAGATGACAGCTGTGGACGATCATGTTCTCCCATTAATAGTTGCAGCGGAAAGAATCACAATATTCCGCGTACCTAGTAAGTTTAAACCTGATTTTTAATTGGTGCCCGCTGAAGTAAACAAGTCGCAAATTATTAGCAAATTTTATCATAATTTCTCACAGACCAACCGGACATCACCACTTTCAACGTTAGAAACGTTGTACAATTTGACTGGATGAATTTATCTGAATTTACCTGGTTACTGAATTAGTGCATAACTCACTCATTCTGGCAGCCTACTGCATCAGTGCATAACTCACTCATTCTGGAGGCCAAAATTTTTGTTCTTACCATGTAACTATGACATAAGCACTGCGTTTGTAGTTCTGAACAGACAATGGCAAAATGCTATCTATTTTACCCCAAGACTCTTCCCTTAATGAGTAAAACTTATGGATTTTGTCTCACAGAGTAAAATAAGAAAGTAGGGTTCATCTTGGCACATGTATTGTAGCTTAATGGGCTGATTATATCTTAGGGGCTGCTCACTTCATTGGCAGACAGTGTAATTAAGCCAATACGTGGCAGCAGTGAGCAGTCGCCCCCTTAAAATCGTCTGGCATTAGACAGATAGAAGAAAATAATATAGAATGTCTTTTGGGTTCATCAGACCTAGCCTAGCTTGCACTTATATATGCAAATATTAATCTTGCAGTATAATGGGCAAGTATAAAAATTTCACACCATATTAAATCTTTATGAACATGTAAACAACCACAATTACAAGTAATTAAAAAGTAAAAAACTAGCAGTTTGGCAATAAATCCATAGAAGAAAGTAAGTAGTGCTAATAGTTGCCTTTGATGCCTAATGAATGTGGAACATCAAACCATGCCAGAGTGCTCAATCTGCAAGCATTGAGTGTGCGCACAATGCGTAAGGGGCAATGGTTCATCCTGTAGAGCGTTCAATATGACCTAAAGGCCATAGAACAATATCTAACTACAGACGGTATCGTTTCGGCCCTTCGGGCCTCATCATTGCAATGCTGATGAGCAGTATGAAAGTAACTAGTGTTTTAAAATAGTCACCTCTGATGCTTCACGAATGTGGAACAAAGAGTGCAGTGTCCAGAGTGCTCAAACAACCGCGAGGAAAGTGAGCTTTGCATTATTGCTAATGGACACCCAATTAATATATATATATATATATATATATATATATATATATATATATATATATATATATATATATATATATATATATATATATATATATATATATATATATATATATATATGTGTATATATATATATATATATATATATATATATATATATATATATATAAATATCAAAAAATCATAAATCTTCAAAGTAAATAAATTATATTTTTACGTTTCGGGGACAAGCCCCTTCTTCAGAATAACGCTACATCATCTCCGTCTCTTGCTTAAATAGTCTAACGTTTAGCTATGCATAAATTAATTAAACCTCTTCCCTTAAATTAAGCCCACGTGGGACATAACTATTCAGTTTCTCAATCCAAAAACTCTCCCTCTCAGTGGAGTTATTAACGTCCGTGACGTCAATAACCTGCACTAAAAAATCACTTAGACCTGAATGTCCCTCCCCCCAAAAATGGGCATACAATTGTTGCCCACAAATATTTCTCTGCCCCCGCCCATATCTATTTAATGCACTCTTGTGATTATTAAATCGCAATCTGAACGGTGTTATGGTATTCCCTACATATTGCAACCCACAGAATTTACAACTAATCAAATATACTATACCCTCCGAGTCACAATCGAAGCGATGATTAATGCAGAAAGACCGCCCCTCAACATGGCTTTTAAAAGTAGCAAGAGTGCATTAAATAGATATGGGCGGGGGCAGAGAAATATTTGTGGGCAACAATTGTATGCCCATTTTTGGGGGGAGGGACATTCAGGTCTAAGTGATTTTTTAGTGCAGGTTACTGACGTCACGGACGTTAATAACCCCACTGAGAGGGAGAGTTCTTGGATTGAGAAACTGAATAGTTATGTCCCACGTGGGTTTAATTTAAGGGAAGAGGTTTAATTAATTTATGCATAGCTAAACGTTAGACTATTTAAAGTGCTTATGTCACAAAAACTTTTTTTTGATATTTGGTAGAGGACAAAAAGTTAGTTAATAGGTTCTTTAACATTTTTCGGTTTTCTATTTTTATTCGCGAGATACGAGGCTCTAAACAGCGATTTTCGTAAAATTGTCGCGTATCAACAAGAGTCTGGGACGAGCGTGGTGTGACGTAGCTTAAGGAACTTAATTTCGACGCGCATTATACATTTGATATATTTTCCAGCATGTCAGACAGTAGGTCGGATTCGGAAAGCACTCATAGTTCTCAATGTGACTCAGAATACAATTATATTGCTGGATATATTATAGAGGATGAATGAAATGATACTAGTCACAAAATCGGAACTCTAGAAGCAGTTGATAGCGAAATTTTAGGCGATTATGATGCATGCCTTTATGCCGATGAACCGCTAGCAGGCGAAGAATGGTACGCACGATATTTAAAAAAATCAGCAGAACACAAGCAACAAAACTAGATGCTACAGCAAAGATTAGATGGCCTTGAAGATATTAAATTATGAGGAGTGTAAAGAAAGATTTATTTTAACATTTTAACGTAAAATAAGTATCTCTGACTAATATATTTTGCGGGATACGGGCTCATACGGCATCAGTCACATCAAAGAGTTTAAACCATGTACACTTCCCTCACCTTCGCAAGAAAATACAAGACACGAGATCAAAGAAAATATAAACCGACTGGTTCAGAGCAAATTACGTATATATTCTTGTTTGAGGCTACAGTGTTTATCTGTGATCACGTTTATTTAATACGAACGATTAAACGATTGTATTTTCTCGCAAGTTTTCTTAGAGCCCATTTTTCCAAGCAAATAGGTCTGAATCCCGAGTGTAGAATGATACAGCAGTAACAGCACGGTGGCTGTGGTACATCTTCTTAAACCAAGTTATCCTTCAGAACTTCCCCACATTTACAAGATTCCATCTCCTGACAGCACCAAGCTTCGTGTGTATATGTATTATCACACAATTGCCGCATTTACACTTGCGAAATATGATACAGGTGAGGAAAGTGATATGACTGATGCCGTATCAAAAATATATCAACCAGAGATACTTATTTTACGTTAAAATGTTAAATAAATCTATGTTTACGCTCACCATGATTTAATATCTTTAAGACCGTCTAATCTTCGTTCTAGCATCTCGTTTTGTTCCTGGTGTTGCGCATGGTTTTAGATGTTGCGCGTAGCATTCTTGGCTTGCTAGCGGCTCCACCGGCATAAAGGCAATATGCATCATAATCGCCTAAAATTTCGCTATCAACTGCTTCTCGAGTTCCAATTTCGTGACTGGTATCATTTGATTCATCCTGTATATATACCCAGGAATATAATTGTATTCTGAGTCACATTGAGAACCATGAGTGCTGGAAAATATATGTTTTCCCAATAGCTTTTTAGTACTCCTTCACATGTGAATTCGAACTTCCGTCCCTTAAGCTACGTCACACGGCTCTCGCCCCAGACCCTTTTCCGGTTTTTTCTCGGGCGCGACAATTTTTCGCTAAAAGCCAATTTTTCAAGGTTTAGAACCTCATATCTCGCGAATGAAAAGAGAAAACCGAAAAATGTTAAAGAACCTATTAACTAACTTTTTGTCCTCTACCAAATATCAAAAAAAAGTTTTTGTGACATAAGCACTTTAAAGCGTATTTATTATACGCCATAATAAATTTTCAAAATGAAGTTCCCGGATGTAAAGTGTGATCACGTTTCCGGTATTGAATTTGAATTTTCATTGAATTGAATTTTCATTGAAGTTGAATTTTCATTAAATTCAGGGCCGTTGCGAAGGGATATGGATTGGGGGGGGGGGGTGTCGAAGGTCAAATTGCCGAGTGACGCTAGTTGAATTTGCCGAGTTTTTCAAAAGTTTGTAAAGGTTAGATATAGGTAATGAGAATCATATTGGTGTGCTGGTAACTGAGGGACACCAATATGGCTCTTGTTTTGAAATGGATGCCTGTTCGTGGGTTGTTGCTAAAAAGGAATCGGGTCACTTTATATATAAAATATGACATCAGTCTAAGAACAAACAAATATAAGGTCACGAAATCGAAACACACAATTGCAATAACTGCAACCAGAGGAGGAATGAGGGTCTTCCCGAAATGCAACGCGCGAATCAGTGCGGCTCATTATTATTCAAGCTATTTATTCTCAACACGCCGTTCGATTAAAAACTGTTGAAATATATGGCGATTTTTGCTGTGAAGATCTCGTTTTCTCAAAGGTATGTTTTGATATCCTTTTTGTTTAGTAATTTAATAAAAGAAGTTTTGAATAATTTTGTATATATATCGCATTTTGCTTATGTTAAATTCCCATTGTATTTATGCATGTTTTGGGTGTTGAAAAAGTGGCATTGAAATATTCCGGAGTAAATTGTACTTTTTTACAAGGAAACTAAAATAAAATTACATCAGTGAATTCAGGAATGTTTAATCTTTATATTAATACTTTAAAACTTGAATTTACTCCATAAAACCGAAGAGTTATCGCTGTTTGAAAATGAGCTATTTTTGCTATATTCGATAATTAGCAAAAATAGCTTATTTTCAAACCGCGACAACTCTTCGGTTTTATGGAGTAAATTCATGTTTTAAAGTATCAATATAAAGAGTAAACATTCCTGAATTCACTGATGTAATTTTATTTTAGTTTCCTTGTAAAAAAGTACAATTTACTCCAGAATATTTCAATGCCACTTTTCCAACACCCAAAACATGCATAAATACAATCGGAATTTAACATAAGTAAAATGCGATATATATACAAAATTATTCAAAACTTCTTTTATTAAATAACTAAACAAAAAGGTTATCGAAACATACCTTTGAGAAAACGAGATCTTCACGGCAAAAATCGCAATATATTTCAACAGTTTTTAATCGAACGGCGCGTTGAGAATAAATAGCTTGAATAATAATGAGCCGCACTGATTCGCGCGTTGCATTTCGGGAAGACCCTCATTCCTCCTCTGAACTGCAACCACAGCTCAATGATGAGCACTATTTTATTTTCGTATTTCAGATAGGAGTTTTATTTTAATTTATTTATATTAAACATATAAAGCTGAAAAAATTTAAATTTATCATAATTTATACCGTGTTTTCATAAGTCCTAAATCGAGACTGAATCTATGTGCACACGGGTCACGTTTCGTTTTTGCAGTGCCGTTTTCAAATTTAGCGTTTAGGCTCCTTGTTCACATTGATCGCTTTTCTCGCAACATTTTCTGACAAAGCACTAGTTTTTTATAGTCTTCGTTTCCAAATTCAAACACGGAATTTCATTTTCGCCTTCTACTTTTCTGTTTACACAATAACAAAGTGCATAAACGACCAAACGTTTCAGACATGGTGATCGAATCTTTGGCATCGTTTTCACTATTTGAAACGTTTTTGCTTCCTGACGTCGCTTTCATACGTTTTCGTGTGAACAGAACGTACGTGAAAATGGTATTTTCAGTTTCAGAAATTAACGCATTACAACCAAAAACCGAAAAACGCTCGGAAAGCGACGGAAACGGTACCGTGTGCATATAGTCTGAGTAACGAGTGTCTTAGACTGTGGTGCAGACGCGCATCTCCGCAAAGTCAGAAAAGTTATCCAAGTATTACCCTGGTTCCAGAAGTTTATTTTTATTATTTTCATTGCGAAGGGGACGAAAAATAAACCTCTGGTTGAAAGCGGCCGAATTGATTCATTGAGCCGCGCCAATCAGTTTGAATTAGGGTCAGATCCTGACTCTGTCTCCTGATTGGATGATCGTATTAAAGCTCTCTGATTGGTTATGGATGTTCTATTTGAACCAATCAGAGAACGTTAAGTCTTTAATGCAATCATCCAATCAGGAGACAGAGTCAGGAACTGAACCTAATTCAAACTGATTGGCGCGGCTCAAATCAATGAATCAATTGCCGCTTTCAACCAGAGGTTTATTTTTCCTCTCCTTTTCGCAATGAAAATAATAAGAATAAACCTCTGGAACCAAGGTATCCAAGTATCTGCATGTGACTGCACTGATATTTTGTTTCAATATTTTCATGGCAATTTGATGAATTTGACCTTTTTAATCCCCACGCGCCGAATAGACAATTTATATTTTTGGTATTTTGAGCAGTCTTAAAACTCTTAGTGCCGGATAGTGTTAACTTGGCTTTTGTACGACCCGATTTTCCAAGAGTTTAAATTTTATGCGTCAGAAAGCGAGTAAAACGGATATGATCATATGCAACCGATCGACGATACCGATCGCTGTATGCGGTATGTCTTTCAAAACTGTAGGCTGATCAGAGTTAACATTAATTTCGCTAAAGAACTAAAGACAAGTCCGTTCTTATGGCATGGCTCGTCTTTCTCTTGGTCTTCTTCCATGTGCCTGTGGAGTCTTCTTGAAAATCTTGCGCCTCTGACGACTCAAAATATTCTCTTTGGCTTTGACTGCGCTTTGTAGTCTCAAACGGATTAGCTGGTACGTCTTTATGTGCTACTCGCACTCGGTTTCCCTTATGGCAAGTTTGCTCGTGCCTCTAATTACGGTAATCGTCGGGCCGTATGTTAGATAACTTTTATGGTTAATACGTTTTCCCTCGTGAAATAAATAATAAAGTTTCTATAGTCGTCAAAAATCGAATTACATTCAAGACACTAAATTTTAGTCTTTTTGGGGGGGGGTTTGAACCGCGCATAACTGATAAAGAGCCATCGCTATAAGAGCAGTCGAGCGAAGAACATGCCCGGAAACGTGGGGTTCACATTTCAGCCTCCCGTCGATTTTCAACAAATAAAAGACTAATAGTATTACTAGAAAATAGAAATACATTTAAATGGTTTTGACATAAGGCCACACAAACCATTATTTTAAATCCAAAATTTATCGCTTTATTTATCGCCTTCGTTCTTAACTTTTACAATTTGCTGAATGCCGATTTTGCAATTTGCCGAACAGTAACGAAGCAATTTGCCGACTGGGGCCGACTTTCGAAAATTATTGGGGGGTGAAGCACCCCCCCACACCCCCCCTCCGCTCGCGACGGCCCTGATTAAATTGAATTTTCGTTGAATTGAAGTCAGTGTGACCAGACGTGGTAATTTCATTACTACCGTGGTAATTTTTCGTCATTTTTGGACAATTGTGGTAATTGGAAATTTGTGGTAATTACTACGGTAATTTCAAAACTACCGTGGTAATTTTTCGTAAATTTCGGCCGATTGTGGTAATTTGAAATTTCCTGACCTTAATTTGTACAGATTTTGGTGAAAAACCCCTAAATTTTACAGATTTTGGTTAAAAAAAACTGGTTTTGGCCTTGTTTTAGGCGAAAAAAAAACCGGTTTTGGCGTTGTTTTACTTATTATTTTTCCGGAAAAAATTTTTTAACCCTAATTTACGAGGAAGTTGTCCGGAAAAATTTTTGTCCGGAAAAATGTTCCCCCCCCCCCCTCCCCGTGGTAATTTCAGACCGAAAATAGTAATTTTTGAAACCGGATGTGGTAATTTGCCCTGAAAAAACCTGGTCACACTGATTGAAGTTGAATTTTCATTGAATTGAAGTTGAATTTTCATTGAATTGAAGTTGAATTTTCGTTGAAATTTGATTGAATTGACGTTGAATTTTCCATTGTCATTGAATTGACGTTGAATGTGTTTGTTGAATATTAGCCATAAATCAGACCTTCCAAGTTTCCCGCAATTACCGTGAAATTCCCGCATTTTTTGTTTGCTTTCACGCATCACGCATGAAGTGACTTTCTTCCCGCATTTTTGTCAGGACGTTCTCTCCTCCGCAGAGGCTTCTGTTGGCTGTGATTACGATTAGTACTGAGATACATTTCACTACACTTTACATGGCGGATCTTGGAACACGAGCGCAGTCAATTAATTAAAGCCTCTGCGGAGGAGAGACGCCAGGACGTTCGGTTCAGCGGCAGTGCACAATCGAGAGGATGACGACTTTGTATGTTCAGATCTTCGGTTCAGTGCACAATACTAATAGTTTTGATCATTATCAACATTGTAGCGATTTATGATCAAGCTATATATTATCAAATAACGCAATTGCCTGAATTCTTTCTCGACGAGTCGACGACTTTGTATGTTCATATCTTCGGTTCAGTGCATAGACATACTGTATTGTCTGTATAATACCACCATTCGATTCAGTGAAACAATATCAACTAATTCTCACAATAGTTTTAGTCATTATCAACATTGTAGCGATTTATGGGCTTTGAAAGTCAAGCGAGATCGTATATTATCAAATTACGCAATTGTCTGATCAAAAATATAAACTAGGCAACTAGCCATACCTTTCGCCGAACATAACTTCGGCCCCTTTGGACGTATCTTCATTGCAATATTCTTGTTCGAATCATTATCAATAACACTGTGTGGAGTGTTTATATTTTCGAGCTTGTATCTTCAAATTTGTATATCTTTTAGAGTTTTAGTTTTATCACGGTATATAAAAATTTCCATATTTTCTGGCCCGACCGCGAGCTATCTCAACCGGAAATACAATTTTAAAACGTCAACAATGCGACGTTGGAAATGCCAGAAATTGATTCCAAAGGTCAGAGTGCACATCTATGTTTTTATCTGCTCAATGCCTTTTCAATAGAGTTGGACCACCATGTTGTGACAATCAGAATATCAGATGTTGATGCATTTGTATAGAATAAAGTATCGGCTTGAAATTCCAACTAT